GGGACTGGATAATGTGAACCAGTTTCTATGGGATGCTGTCGTGGCGCAGGATCTACCAGAGAGATCAGTGGTGTTTGCTGTCGAATGCCTTCTCAAAATCAACAAGTACAGCAAGGAATGTGTACAGAATTGGTCAATACAGGATATCCCTTTTCTGAAACGGCCTGCTCCTGAAACAGCTGTGATGTGTTGTAATTTCATGTGGCTGAAGACCTTGTTGTTGAGAGAGAGAGAGAGAGAGAGAGAGAGAGAGAGAGAGAGAGAGAGAGAGAGAGAGAGTTGGGAGAGAGAGAGAGGGACTGAGGGAGAGGGAGTGAGGGAGAGATAGGGGACATGTACTGTTAATGCAAATACTCTTTTGATCAGAATGCTTGTTTACATTGTCATTCGACTCAGAAATATGCTGACCTTGACTGCGCAACATTCTCGAAATAATTAAATGTTTTACTGCATGTTATCGGGTAACCTTTAAATTCCACTGAGGCGTCAATATGATCTGTCATACTACTATGAATTCAGAATAAGATGGGTTAGAGTATTTAAATTTTTGGGTCGCTGGGTACATTATTGATCATTGTGTGTGACCAAGAACAAGTAACTCTTGCAAACTTAATTTACAATGCCGACGATCCGTTGTTTCCACTCTTTCTCACATGTTTCTTTCTTCTTTGAGAAATATAAAATACAGAATTTTTTTTAATTGATTATGACTACAAATAAGAAAGAAAATGAAAAATAAGTAAAATTTGATACTTATGCCATTAAATGAGCTACGAACGACTTTTACATGCATACAAACGTGTAATTTACAGAACATAATCATTTGCATTATCTATTGTATTGTTTTAAAATTATTTTATTATGGATATACTGGTAAAATCTAATAAATGTTAAGCAGATTAATGAGCAGTATTCAAGCTCAAAGTTCAGTTATCAATACACATCTGGATCCTAGGAAACACAGACTTCCAAAAACGGAGTTTGCATCAGATGCGTCGGAGTAGCGAGCACATTCACAGGGGCCGGTAAATAGAGAATATTATATACACTGTACATACTAAAACCCATATCGTATATCATATACCTAGTAGCAGTACCTGATACAGTCGTTTTTGACTAGGTGAGACAGCTCCTCGGAACTAGTGCTGTCTCGCCCTCGGTCTGAGATATTTGTCTCGGCCCGTTGTCAAGGGGCTGTATTGCCCTCAAATTTCAAATCATTATCTCCGGGCTTGGGATGATACCAACCGCTAGGGCTGATACCAGGGCCGAGATCAAAACAGCACTGTGATATTCTATATATGTCCCATCATCCCGAGTGGCCCAATTTCATTCGGCCCCCGGGCTGATATGGGGCCCGATGTAGCATTGTATCTATCATATATTTAAAATACTTAATACACGAGTTCACATATGGTCATTGAAGAATTTTTCTAGTTTTACATAGTTTTATATACCGTAATGTTAGCTAGAGATATATTATTCTTTAATTCTTGGCTTATAATTCTCTTTAATTATGATTTATATCGTAGGACATATGGAAACTTTCCATTTCTAGAGATTGTTTGTTAATTTCAATTGTATTCAATAAAAATGTATGCAGTTTTTCCATTAAATTGAGAGGATGGAAACATCTAAAAAACACAACAACAACAACATTTTGAGTATCTCTTATAAATATCGCCATTCTTCATGATATGGATTTAGTCGCTTGTTTTAACAGGAAATATACTATTTATATAAAATGGAAAGTCGTCGCCGATTATTTCAAGTCCGAAAGTATTGAAAATGATGGTTTTGCGATATATCTTTTTTTTTCTCTCATTCAAGTTTTGATTCTGGTATCAAGTGAAAAATGCATACGGTAAATATCATGATATCCGTTTAAAAAGACGAGACTGCTGCTTAAATTTTATTTCACATGTCATGATGTTTTTGTAGATGTGGTTTCCAACGTGTTGTCCAGGATTTTTCTTTCATAGAAAATCATCAAAAAATTGTGTATGATCACAAGTACTGTTTTTGTGGTTTAATTTACAAGGGGTGTTATATTGATCTGTATCAGCCCTGCAGGGCTGATAACGTATATCAGCCCTGCAAATCCATATCAGCCCTGCAGGGCTGATACGGCTATTGTGACGTCGGCCATATCACATATGCAAAAAACCTGTATTTATTACTAATTATGTAATAAATATAAGTAATTTATTAATGCACATTTAATCATCTTTCAAGCCTCTTTATAACATTTGCACGTTATAAACTGTTTATGTTGAAAAACTGAACTTTTAAATCATTATGTATTTACCGTTTACTTACACTAAAATTATGTCACATATATTATACTTTGACATCTTAAATTCGATTTTTGTGTAACTGTGTTGTGCAGACCATAATTATGTGTTTTTGTAGCATATATTTATATGCATATCAATACATGTGTAATGTATATATACAGGCCAAGGCGCAACCATTTCCTTGAATAATATGAAAAACAAAAAGGATTTTTTCTCGAATATTCAGAACTCTTTCAACATCTCCACAATTTCCTTTCCTGATGAGAAGGATAGGTCAGATGAAGCCAATAACCAAACTCAGTGGAATACAATGTACATGTACCAGCATAGAAGGGACAAATAATCCAATAGAGAGAAATGCTGAAATCGATCTATCATGTTACAAATATGTAATCATACTGTGCTCATTGTGGTTGTTTGTTTTGTAGCTTGAAATATTTTGATGCATAAAAATGTTTATTCAGATACATGTAATAAAGAAAAGAAAACAATCTTTCATTGTCTATTTGCTATGCATCTGCTAATATATAGCAAATAGACAATGAAAGATTAATTGAGATACTTTCCTAGACTTTTCAAGCGGATATTCTCTGTGAACGAAATCACAATTTTTAGTGGTACGAGCTAGCAGGCACCCTTTCCAGTATTTTTTCCATGGGAGGGGGGGGGGGGGCACTAGCTGAGGAATTTTACACAGAAAAATATTTAATTCTTTTTCAAAATATATTAAACTCTAGAATTGATAGTATTTCATAATTATTCTTGTCTACAAGAATTCTGATAAGTTTTAAACCAGAGTAAAAAGCACACCTTATGGACAGTGAGAGTGGGTTTAATCATTTATTATTAAGAAACCTAGTGCATTTTTATAATTTCTTAATACTCTATAATAGCAAAATTTGTATTGGTCCGTGAGTCTTTATTCATTTTAAAGTAAGGAATAGGATGAAAAGCTTGGTTCAAAAGAGGGATAGGTTAATGCATGTTTACTAAGATTTATATGGAATATGCAGTTTATATGTCACAAAATAATTTTTTGTCAATGATCAAATTTAGAATGTACTTATAAGAGATGAACACTTTCTTTATGTTCTACAAGAATGTGTAAAGTCATGTCTTTTACGGCCTAATATATCAGATTCTGAGTTATTTAAGAAATTCCTATGGAGAAAATGTTACTTTTGAAGAAAGGTTGAAAGCCTGGACGCACCTTAAGGAATTATATTTGATAACAACAATACGACTCTTAAAAACTTTAGTTTAAAGATAAAAAAAAACCTGCTCATTTAATTTTTACTGATCTCGTGTTCTTGTAAATGTTTTAGAAAAAATAATCTGTCCCCAAACATATGGTGAATCTGATAATAATCCACAATAACCATATGAAATATAATATACAGTCATATCCGGAGAAAACCTCTGGATATAAAATTATGTCAGGTTAATTTTATCACTTGAAAGCAGTTTGATTTTTAGACAATTGTTTGTCTAGCTTAACAACATCATCGTATTTACATTAGTAAAATATAGACCAAGAAAGTAGAACAAACAATCCTCACCTGTCACCTCTTTCATATTTAGACAATACTCTAGTTACCAGATTTAGTTTAAACTAAAGGACTTTCGATAGCAATTTTATATTGATTATTTCAACGAGGTTGGCCTGATATTCAAAATCTTCAAACTTTTATGCATGTATATTTTTAGTTTTTACACATAGAGCTAAGTTAAAAATCAGAACAAAAATTAGAGTTAATATGCTTCTTTTAATGGTACAGTACATTTAATATGACCTTTTTAAAAATTGTATCTTCATCACAAATTAAATTTTAGACGTTTTCTCTTTTATCGTTTTTATTGACTAAGAAAAAGTTTCAAATTAGCTTCAGATCTCTATCAAATCACTTATATTTCAATTTAGGATTGATTTGCCAATTTAAATGTTAATTTAATGTCAAGAGCAAAGACGGAAGTAAATCTTTATAGATAGCTTTTATAAATACGAGGATAACAAAAAAAGGAGGAAAAAATCAACAATAACACAAAGCTCAACCATGACTGCATGATGTATGTTGTGTTGCGCTGTATACTTCTTATGAAAATAGCCCGTTTTAAATAATAATAAAAGTTTCATAATTTTTTTGTCTCGTGAATAAATTTGCGTAAAGAGTTAGCAAAATAATCCATTTTGTCTTGATTTTTTAGTCACATCTTGGGGTTTTATTTCTAAGCCTCCTAATAATAGAGCACATCACATAAATCATTTATAAAAGCTTGAATGTTTTGCCGCTTACTATCAATACTAACAATGAAGTTCACCTGTATGACTTTGGTTGGGCTTTATGAGAGGGAGCTTCATTCTCTCATGCTAAGATAGAAAGTAAAATACTATGTCAAATTTGAAGACGGGCATCATAAGGTTAAACATCCCTCCAAACATCCGTATTTTAAAATAATATTATTTCTTTTTTGTTTTTGGAAATTAAAACCTAAAAATGTCAGATTTAAAGAGTCTTTTAAAAAAATAATATATATATGAATGTTCTTCCTGATAAAGATTGCATGTACAGGAAATGTCCTTTTTATGTAAATTAGGAAATCTGTTGACAAAAATTCCCAATATGGCTGTATTGATGAGAATGCTTTCACAATATACTGTTTTTGGTCTTACCCAACTTTTGATTTCAGCAGTTTCTCAAAATTGCATAAGGTAAATATAAAAATAATTATGTTGTGAAAAATGCCATTGTTGGTTTAGAATGATTTACAAATACATGATGTTTTTGCAGGGGAGGAAAACCAGCATGTTGCCCAGGGAAAAGGTTTAATAAAGACAGTGAAATGTGTGAGGGTAAGGATTTATTGAAAAGGGCTTAAATTATGTTTTTACAACAGAAGAACTAATCAATATTTCAAAGCAATGATAGATTTTGTTAATTTCAGAATGCCTTCCTGGATATTATCACTGGGATTGTTCACGTAAATGCCAATATCCATATTACGGCAAGGCTTGTAAAGAAGATTGTTTATGCCCAAAAAACCTTTGTAATTTCTCATATGGCTGTACATTGTTCGAAGGTAAATAGTCATCCTAATGAATGAGTACTGAAAATTCATGAACATGACTAGCATTTTTTCCTTTTTGATACTGAAACAATTTTAACCATATTATTTACTTATCATATTTGCACGTTAGAAATTGAAAGACTGAAATGAAAAAAAAAATCAATTGTTTATCTACCAGAACTTTTTTCATTAAGCTGGAAGATTATACATGCTTACTACGACAAAAATAATTCGCTTATAATAGATATTATTTACAAATTTACATAAATGTATATACACAGGGCAAAGAACAGTCGTCTCTACGCAGAACTTCAAAACCAAAAATGATAATTTCTCGAGCATCCACCATTCAGTTAATATATTCTTTACTATTACCTTACCTTACAAGAGGAATACGTTGAATGAGGAAAAATACCAAATCAAATGGAATAGCAGTACACAAATGACTACTGAAGGAAAGGCTGAAGCTTTTCTTTCAAGTAACATAATAGTTATCATGACGTGTTTAGCGGTGTTATTTGTTTTGTTGTTTGCGATTTTTGTTGTTTTAAATGTTTACAAAATGTTTATTAAGAAACGTGCAGTTATACGTTCAGCTGAGAAAAGCACTCTAAAAGAAAACAAAAATTACTCGTCTATTGGACAGAAAAAAGACATCGAAGAAAGAACTATTTCCCTAGGAATTCAAAGCGAAAATACCTGTGATGATACATGTACTTCATATTTATCTCCGCTGAGTTTGGCAACGAGTCAGTACGAGGAAATTGATTTACACGATATTCGAAGAGAATCAAAATACATTCCATTTGAACATACATCCGAGGAACAGCAAGATGCGTATCTTACTCCTACAGCTGTATCAGATGGATTGTATATAGAAATTATTGGATAAGAAAAATATGTCTCCAGGTAGCACAAAACATCTATGAAATATAATTTATTAAAAATTATTGACTGTTCTCGGGCAAAGTGTGTTTTGTTGTTCCTCGATCCAAACTGTCTGCCTTCTTTTGTCTTATTAAAGAAGGATATGGAGATAACGAACAGAATTCAATCTTAAAGTCCATTAAACAATATACAAAATAAGAACAGAGCAAACACGGACCTCCGAAACATCAGAGGTGTGAGCAGGTGCCATGGAGGAGTAAGCATACCCTGCCGACCGGTCACACCCGCCGTGTGCTCGTTGTCATGATCAGGAAATAACGGGAAAAAATATGTCGTCAATTCAGTGTATAAATAATGGACTAACAATTGCTATGAAAAACGTCAGTCAGCATTTGACTCAATGATAAATTGTATTTGCTGACAAGGTCATTGTATCGACCATAGAACTTACGAAATGATGACTTTAAAGGAGACTGGGCTATTCTTGTTTCATCAACTTGCTTGTCAGTAATTTACCTCGTTTAAGAAATTGTTGATACGTAGAGCATGCTTTTGCGTATCGAATCAACTGAGTTACATAAACTCCATATGCAGGTGATGTAGGTATATTGCTGCATAAGTAAGGGAAGTTAACGATAGAAAAGTTAAATTCATCACGTTTATCATAGAGTTTGGTTGTTATATTACCATTAGTGTCTTTTTTAAGTAAAATATCCAAGTATGAAGTAAATATATTTATTATAAATAAATATTATGAAATAGAGGAGAAAAAAAAATTAATTATAGTATTAACTACAATGGATTATTCTTGTAAGATGGCAGTACCTCTCAAAAATTTGAAAAAAAGATAGAGAAAACTAAGATGCATATTTATTTCACAGATAATTTTTTTTTGCAAGAATAAATGTATTTCATGTGTAAGGCATTCGGAGGGAATTGGTGACCTTTTACATTTTATTGATATATGACACTTTAGTGTCACTTTTACTGGTTATGGGATATGGACTAGAAATACGAAACTAAGATCCTCCCCCACCTAAGGAAAATAATAAGTTTGGGAACATAGTAAGTTGTACAGTACTTGTCCCAATCGTTTCGTTTTAATCAATAGAATATGTTCAAAACGAAAACAAATATTACGGTTTGCATATTTTCGTCATATTTTGTGAAGAACAAAAAACAAGGAATCTTATATACCGTATAAGTAGAATATTTAGCGAGGATTTAATTTTGGCATTATTAGCGAGGGTGCCAAGATCGCTAAAATTAAATACCGCTAAAAATAAATTGCGTTATATTTGTAATAGCTTCTTTAATGTGGCATTTTAAAATCGCTAAAATAACATCTCGCTAAAAATAATTACCAGTTTTTAAGGACAAATCGCTAAATTTGCGTCTCGCTAAAATTTCCACTTATACGGTATGTATATATATATTGGTAACTGGGCTGTTTACAGTGTATTTCAGGTTTTTTTTTCAATCACAAAAAATATCAGCTCTTTCCTTAAGGTTTATCAAGTCAAGCTTACGGACATCCTGCAGCAATCGTGTTACTTCTCAAATAAGCGCAATTAAAATATTTTCAATATGCCATAGAAATGATTAATAATAGAGAGGAATTATATATAACATTGCGCATTTAACTCTAAACACGACATATTCTAGACTTTTTACTACCATTTTTAATTGTGATATCAGGTTTAGGGTTAGGATGTGTTATTATGTGAGAAATTTAGCAGTATCCTAGGGTCTTGTTTTGAGTTCACAAACGTTTCCACTTTTAAGATATGAAGTCCTAAAACTCAGAATCCCATGGGAGAATGCATGGATTTTTAGTCCCACCAACTATCCCACGTTTCTCCCATGGGAGAAAAATATTACATGGGATATTTTCTCCTAGGGGATATTCCCCTATGAATTTGTTCAAATGGGATAAATCCAATGGATATTGACAATGAATTATTTTCTCCAATACATTATTATAGCAAGTATATTTTCAATATATTATGATGAGAAATTTTTCATTGTCATACTGTATGCGAGAAGTTGTTTGATTGTCAATATCCGTTGGATTTATCCCAATTGAACAACTTTGTAAGAGAAGAAATCCCAATTAGAAAAAAAAATCCCATCTGACTTTTCTTCTCCCATGGGAGGATGGTGGGATTGATGATGGGATTTAAGTAGAAAATAGGTCTTCAATACATGTAACAGATACAATGTAATATTTATAAATGTACACCAAGACAACAGACAGGTGCAATCAGAACATATATGGGACAAGGGCAGTGAAAAGCAGAACATTCCCTCGCTAAGAGCATAATCTATATTTCAAAGTAGCATTTGATATCTATCCCGATGCAAAATACTACTGTTTCATACAATACTATTTAACACACCAACAAACAAACACACCCTAACACACAGCCCACACACCCTCAATCCCCTTCCAACAAATCCCCAATTCCTCTGTCTTATTTGTTTGTCCATTGGTTCCTGTCCTGCTCTTTTCCATATTTCTTCATTGGAGATTCTTTCAGGCCATCGGATGTTGAATATGTGCCTGACACAGGTGTTATAAAATGTCTAGATTTTCTACAGGATATCTCAAGTCATCCTCCACGTCTCTGCACCGTACAATAGGACGGATTTTACATTTGAGTAGAGGATCTGCAGTTTAGTGGTAATACGGATGTTCTTTGGGGCCCAGATGTACTTTAAGATGGTGAATGCAGTTCTTGCCTTGCCAATTCTTGACCTGATGTCGCGGTCTGTGCGACCCTATCTATCCACCACACTCCCCAGATAGATGAAGGACTCAAATTTCTTTGATGGGCTCACCACCAACTCTGACTGGTGCTTGGACAGTGGTGTACATCTTCATCAATTCTGTTCTTTTCAGGTTGATTTTGAGGCCTGTTCCTGCGGATGTTGTTGCAGGGCGAGTTGTTTTATCCTGCATCTGGCTTTGGTTGTGTGAAAGGAGAGGCGGGTCATCTGCAAAATCGAGATCGTGATTATAGACATATTAGCTAGATAAGATAAATGGAAATCTTTAATTGTTCAGGACGTTTTAAAATGTGAGTTTCATTCTTTTCATTTTGAAAACACAACGTTTAAATTGCAAATATCATTTTGTATTGTCGTCAGAGATAAGCACGGAGCAATCTGACTTGCAGTTTTTCTCTAATTTGTGTCTTTTGAATGCTCTCAGCCATTTCTTATGACTTTATGTGTGCACGGCTATCCTTTATCCAAGGCATAAAAAGGGAGTGATTAAGATCTACATAATTAGTATTATTCAATAAATACCGTCATGAACTGTATGACATACAATACAGATAGCATATGACATTTAACTTGACCTTCTCTCATAATTGAATCTCTAATGACTTTACAACAGTTTATGTGACCACTTTTCATCACACAGTTTCATCGTGAGAAGCGGGGAAACAAGGGCTTTTCGAGACACTGCATTATAGATGAATGGGAAAGAATCAGTAAACTAGAGTGAAAATAAAAGCTTCATTAAAGCTGTAAAAGATCCAAAAGAAATATTCACTGAAATATGTGACATTTACAGCAACCAATGCCTGTTTTAAAGACAGGTGGATTTCAATTATAAAAGAATGTATACTGGGCATCAAAAATAAGTACTATCTTTACCAACCGAAATTAAAACAATTTATGTACTGTTCGCCAAATTTCAACGAATAATATTTGATGATGTATGATAGACTTTAACACACATAGCAAATTTGATAGACAGCATATCAGGAGTAGTTTACACTGTTTTAAAGAAACATTTGATGGTAAATAAGCTTGGTACTCAAAGGTCACCCTATATTTTGAAAAAAATGAGTGAAAACTACATGCAGCTTGTACGAAAGTCTTAACAATCATTTCAAAATATCAGTAATTGTAGTTATCCACGTTTGTTTTATATTCAAACAGATACTGGAACATGAATCTATTGCTTAAAACCATTATAACAAAATTTACCATAAGATGTACTTGTTAAAAAGGTGAAGGTCTGACAAGAACTTTGATTTGCACAAAGACAGATTTATATGCAGTTTTCCTAAATATATGTGGTATTGTTGTTTAATTTGTATTCGGGGAGACAGTTTAATTTCTGGAGGAGTCTAGAAAGCATTATTTGCAAAAAAATTCAAAGGTTTATTAGCGAAAGGACTTAGAATTAGGAATCCACCACATTGAATTTCTTCATGACAGCGTCCAAACCCACTTGCCCTGAAGAGTAAAGAGGTTTTCGGGATAAATAGAAAGTTAATGATTTTCACATTAAAAATATTTGCTAGATCTTTGACCTTTTGACTTGTTTTTATTTCCAAACTTGAAAAAACCCCACCTTTCAGAGGGGAGAAACAAGTCCACGAAATCATTGGATCTGCCATTTTCCAGTATACTAAAGGTCATACCCAAAAATGACAATCAGAAATTGGATAAAAAATGTTATGGACATTGTTTGAATTAAGAGAGATTAATAAGTAAAATCATTAAGACTTAATCATTGAAAAGCGCCTTTTTCTTCTTCCTGAGCACCGAGCACATTATTTATTGAACAGCCCTCGTATATAGTGAAGAGAATAAGTCTATATTTTTATTAACAAAGAATACTCCTAAGATTCCTTCATAAAATTTTTCACCAATGTCAAAACAATGAGAGTTAAACACTGTTAAACAGCCCGTCGTTTACCACGACGCCCACGCTTTCTGAACCTTTTGGTGCATGAAGGCTGACATGAATTCCCCCAACCGCAACTTTTTCATCTATGTACGACTTGTTTCATACAAACTTTAGCCGTATTCCACCATATTTCTTTCAGATACCTTTTCTTATTGTAACGATATATACCCAAATGCCCTCGTTACACTTGAATGATTTTTTGGCTTGGCTATCGACTTGTGCACATCTCCGATGGTAAAACATTTGAGAACACATGGGTTGATCAAGACATTTCAAAACCACAACAAACAACA